CAAAAGGTCTCCTTGCTTTTACCCTTGCACTCACCCTCCTCACACTCTATTTTCCCATGGCAGCAAGTGTAAACCTTTGAAAAGGTCAGTCAGATCACAGTCCTCTTCTGCTCAAAACCATGCAGTGGTCCATCACACTCCGAGTAAAAGGCAACATTCCAGTGATGGTCTACAGCACCTTGCAGATCAAGCCCCATGAATTCTCTGACCTCATCTCCACTGTTGCAGACCTCTTCATTGTTCCAGCCATGGTGGTCTCTGCTGCTCCCAGCACACACTAGCTGTATGGCCTATGCTGTAGCCATTCCTTTAGTATGAAAGATGTGTTGTTGTTGGCCAAGCGTACAGTTGGAAGGGGCAGCCCACAAGACCGCTCTCACTTCTGACACCAATTGCAAGTTCAGGAAGATTCCCAAAACCACCCTCAGGACTCAGAACTCAAAGAAAGCTGTTTTGCTCATGACTGCAGTTTATTACAGGGGAGGGATCCCCATTAAAACCAACTGAGAGAAGCAGTACAAAGGGTGAAGTCTGGACAAGTACCAAACATGAAGCTTCCATGTTATGGACAACGTTAACCTCTCCTAGTAACGATGTGACAAGACAGAGTACTGCCAACAAGGGAAGCGCACCCGAACCTTGGTATCCAGCTCTTATAGGGGTTCCATCATATAAGCAAGATTGTCTCCAACTCTTCCAGGGATCCCCAGCCCCCAGACAAAGATTCCTATCAGACATGACATTCCAAGGGGTTAAAGGTCAACTCCAACAAGCCAAACTCAATGCCATCGAGTTGATTCCAACTCATAGTGACGCCCATTGGGCTTCTGAGGTGGTAAATCTTTACAGAATGAGATTGCCCACTCTTCCTTCTGCAGAGTGGCTGGTAGGTTTGAACTACCAACCTTCTGGTTAGCAGTCAAATGCCTTAGGCACTGTGCCACCAGAGCTCCTTCTTTAGGCAAGATTAGTTGTTCACTATAAAAGAGAATTTTCCCCAGACACTGGGTAACCTTCATCTCCTTCAGTTCTTGCTTTTAATCAAGGCCAACTCCAATCAATTGTATTTAATACTATGTCCTGCCCCTTCCTCCCCAAACTTGGACCCGATTCTCATTACCTTGTTCTACCTTTTTCCCCAACAGCATTTATGAACTTCCAACACAGCATTCGCGGGTAGAATTCTTACCTTCCAAGTCGGAGACCTGGGTTCAGTCCCTGGCCAGGGCCTCTCATGTGCAGCAGCCCACCACTCGCTGAACAGATTCCGGTGGTGCTTCCAGACTAAGACCTGGTGACGTACTTCCGACAACCAGCCGAGGAACACCCTAGGGAACACGACGGCTGCCTTCCGCTGATGGCACGGGACTGGGCGGTTTTGTTCTGTTGGGAAGGCATTGTGGTTGAGGTAGAATTCCCACCTTCCACATGGGAGACCTGGGTTTGATTCCTGGCAACACATCTCATGTGTAGCCACCATGAGAGAGGCCTGGTGACCTACCTCTGAAAAATGGGCATTAATGTGCTCATTTGCTATGATGCTGAATAGATTCCAGCATTCTCCAGACTGAGAGAGACTGGGAAGAAAGACCTGGCAATCTACTTCCAAAATCACAAACCATCACAATGGTCTGATCCACAGCTGATGACGGCAATGGCACGGGACTGGGTTTCATTGTGCACGGGGTCCCCACGAGTTGGAGGCCAACTCCACAGCAGCAAACAACACACCACGGAACATACTTACTTGTTCTTTTAACTGCCTGTTTCTTCTTTCTGGATCGTGTGCTACACCAGGGCAGGGCTCTCTGCTTTGCTCACGATGTTTTCTATGTGCCTAATGCCTGGCACAGAATGGAGGCTCACTATCTGTTAAATGGAATGAAGGTGAAAAGCCCAGTGTGTCAGGCTGCCTTGAAAAACCCAATGACTTCAGTAGGACAGAAATTTCCCCTCCAAGAGTATGGTGTATTTGCAAAGAACTTTACCTTACGGGGTTAGTTTATTGCTCTCAGCTCTTCTAAGTAAAAAGCTGAAAAAGAGAGATGCACACTCTGAAACATCACTCTTGCCTATTTCTCTCACTATTGGGTTGTTCTCTTTATTTTACTTTTGTTGTTGTTGAGAATAAAAACAATAAAACATACACCAATCCATCAATTTCTACATGAACATCATTGTTGCATACTGTATGTGGCACCTGGACATACTACTGGTACTCACCAGGTATTGAGTGGTACGGGCATGGAAAGTCGGGGAGGCCCCAGATCTACATGAATGATACAAGTTTCCTGACATCCACAAGTCCACATGATCTTGAAGTGAAAATGCCCTCTCTTCACTAATTTCTGGTTCTGTTCTAAAAAGCTAGTTTCCCTGTAGGAGTAATAATGGTTCTACCATTTGTCTTCAATATTGATCTCAGTAGTTCAGGTCCCTGGATGGTGTGAACAGGTCAGGGCTTGATCACCCGCCAAAGGTCGGTGGTTGGAACTCACCAAGAGGTACCCACCAAGAGGCTTCCAAAAGGCTAGAGCCTAGAAAACTCCATGGGGCAGTTCTACGGTCATGTGGTGTCAGCATGACCTGGAATTGACTCGATGCACCCAACAACATGCCCTGCTGCAGGTCCCTGCATGGCACAGCTCAGTGCTGGGCTACAAACTCAGGGGCTGACGATCCTATCCCAGAGGCACTTCAGAAGACACCCCCGGTGAGCTGCTTCCAAAGCCTTGAAACCCCATGGAGCATTCCAGCCTGCACACATGGAACCCGTAAGCTGGAATCGACTGGATGGCAACTAACAAGTAGTTTAGGGAGCTCTGGTGGCACACTGGCTAAGGCACTTGACTGCTAACCAGAAGGCTGGTGGTTCAAACCCACCAGCCACTCCTCAGAAGGCAGGCTGGACAATCTACTTCCATACTGATACTGCCTCAGAAACCCAAGGAGGGGTCGCTATGAGTCGGGTCCAACTTGACGGCACATAACAAGTAGTTTACAAAGCAGTTTCACAGAAGTCATTCCTTTGTGCAACACATGCTGCTAACATGGGCTGGACTCTAATCTGAGGAGGTGCTGGGCCACAGGCCGGGTGAGGAGGACAGAGAGCGCACACCCCTGGTTTCCTAGGAGCTCAGAGGCTGGCGCAGGAGCAGGCAGTGTTTTGTTCTGTTGTGCACAGAGTCACTGTGAGTCAGAGCTGACTCACTGGCACCCACCAACCTAACAACAAGAGAGTCCAGTGAGGATTCAGATGGGGAAAGAAAAATTGCAGTTTTCATAAAAACTCGGTGAGGCCACCTGGGCAGGTACGCAACCTCACTTTGGAAATTAGGGAACAGCCTCTGAGAAGCTGTCTGAGGTTTCCTGGCAAGTCTGCAGAGGAGCTGGCACCAAGATGTGGGCTGTTTTTGATTTTTAATGCTAAGCTCGACGGAATGTGGGGCTCCCTGTGCTGCAGCAAATGCCACGAACTGCCTGGCCCCCCTTCACTGTGCCTCTCTCCCTCTGCTTCTGTGGTGCTAAGAGCCAGCTATAGGACCTCAAAGCTGTAAGGTCCCTGGAGACCACTGGATTCACCTGCCCACTTTCAAGACTAAGGAACTCAACGTTCAAGTGGGTATGCACGTCAGTAAGGGGCACAGCCCAGGCACAAACAAGCCTGGCACTCCTGCTGGCAGTCCCCTTAGCCCCCCATGACACCAGGCCTAGCACACCCACGCCCATGCCACACGACCCTCCACCAAGAGTCCGTGGACTACTACTATTTCACTCCATAGAGTATCCACATGGACGGGGATAAGCTCTTCTGCAGGAGTGACGGTGTCATTCTCAGCACAAGTTCATTTAAAAAATGAAGAAAGAAAAGATTGCCAACACGGACTATGAAAATTCAGAGGATTTTATTGAGTTTTCTATGTTCCTGCAGAAAACCATTCACAGGAAAGAGCTGGACACCTGATATGAGATCATTCACACGGTGTTTTACACATGAATTCTTTACTTTGGGGGCCACAGGATTGTTCATTTCAACAGGGCTTTCACGTGACTACAGACACAAAATTGGCAACTTTATTAAAAAAAAAACACCTGAATCACACAGAGCTAGACAAAGTATGCAGCTTGATGCCAACTTAAATCTGCACACACCCCGCCCCTCACACACGATCTTGGAAGTACCTGCTGTGAGTTTATTAAAACATCCACCAGAGGATGTCTGAGGTCACAAATGATTGCTTAGAAAATCAAACCTCCTTGCCTAGTTATTTCATTATAGAAAAATATTACAAATAAAAATTAGTGCTATTTAAGGTATTTGTTTCAAAAACACAGATACACAGGCTCCGGCCGTTCCTCCCCGCTCGTGTAGATGTCCGACACGCCAGGTGAACACGGAACGACGGACTCAAGAGAGGCCTTGCCCACTGCTGCCAGCTTCCCGGGGACGTTGGGTGTTAACGTGCTGAATGATTTAAAATGAGAGTGGATGAAAACATCTGCGGGTCTCGGGGACACTCTTAATTTGTTCCTAGTTTCAAAGTCAGAGAAACCCTTAGAGAAACATGAGAAAAATTAGCACTTCTTCCTGATACAAAAAAATGTGTCAAAATCTGTAATTATAAAACAGATTTGCTTTTTATAAAGAAATGGCTAAAATTTTCCCCCATGGGAGAAGTCCTGCTTGGACATGATTCAGGTTTTCATCTGGACTCTCTCACCCCGGAGGCTGGGAGAAGGTGGCTAAGGATCATAAAGGGTGTTCCAGAAACAGAGGCGTTTCGGAGAGGACAGCAGAAGGCTGTCCCAATCAGGGATGCGACAGTCTCCTTTCTCGTGATGCAAATTCTAAAGAAACAGGGTCTCCATAAGCTATTTACAGCAGTTGACACGTCAGGGGTTCATTTTCACATGATATACGACGTATACCATAAAAGGAACTGATGACAAATACTTGTCACTGACATTCACGGAGGCAAGGAGGAGTCGACGCCACAGCTTTACTGGAGGGGCGAGGTCTTCAGGGGGATCATGATTCTGGATTCCATCACCTGAATGAGAGGGACTGAAAACAGGGGCAGGGTCACTGTGCTTGGTCTCATCTCAGCAGGTCAGGTCGACAGACACTAGCGAACAAGGGGCACTGCACAGGAAGGGGCCGCCCTATGGGCCCCCGAGCTGTTGAAACACCAGTGCATATCCTGTGAGATACGGGTATGACCGAGACAGACCCTGCCCGGGAAAATGTCTCACTTGTGAGATACTAGGCAAGTCCCGTGGCGGGAGAAAAACTGCCTTCCCAAAAGGTGCTCTGAACAGAGCCGCGTGTACAGAAGACCTAGTCACACTGTAGAACATATCCTGTGCCAAGGGACAGTCGGCCCCACGTGAGTAAAACACACCTCCGGGAACAAACAGGAAGCGTAGGAAAAACAACAAAATCATGTGCAGTTACATGATGATGATGATTTTTTTATGATTTTTTAACTCAAAGATAATACCCAGAAGGGCAGTGTATGCATAAGGAGACAGCTCAGGGGACAGGAGTGCACGGGAGGGAAGGACACAGGGAAGAGGTAACCACAGGGAGGAAGTGGGCAGAGAGCTGTTACATCGTGGGGAATGGCAGTCAATGTCATGAGACAAAATGTGTTTGAACCGCTGTATGGAAAATGAATTTGCTCTGTAAACCTTCACCTAAATTATAATAATAATAAAAAAGGTAATTCCTATCTTCTAGAACAAGATGCTCTTTCATTTGCTTGGTAGTTTAGGGCAGAGAGGAGCTCTGGTGGTGTTTATAGGGCAGAGAGAACTTACATGACACACGACATATTTGGTACTTCTTCCCTGTGTCTGCACCCCTGGACTGTATGATTCAACCTACTTACTTTCTTTTACATGTCAAGTAATTCTGTGTGTATGTGTAAGTATACACAAGGAGCCCTGGTGGCACAGTGGCTAAAGTGCTTGGCTGCTAACCGAAAGGTGGGTAGTTTGAACCCACCAGCGGCTCAGCGGAAGATGTGGCAGTCGGCATCTATAATGATTACAGCCTTGGAAACCCTTTGTGGCAGTTCCACTCTATCCTCTAGGGGCGCTGTGAGTCAGAATTTGACTCAAGGGTGATGGGTTTTTTGGTTTATGCATCACACATATATATATATATGAGAAAAGTCTACCAAATTAATTTTCAAAATTACTTTTCAGTTGACATACTGAATTATGTTTTAAGGAACTGACCATTTTCGTAAGAAAGAGAAGGCTTAAAAAATTTGTATAAAGTTTTCAAAGAATACAGAAATCTATAAAAAAAACAGATAATGATGTAAAATTTACAACACACCAAGGTCTGAAAACTTTATCAGACAATATACTTTAATAAGGAATACTTTTGTTTATTTAAAGAAAAAAAGAATCACTCTGCCCACCCATCTTCCTACCAGAGAACCATCTAATTCACATGTCAGCAAAACACTATTGAAAAATAGATATATTGAGGGTGAAAAAATACACCAGACACGAGAAACGAGCAGCATCACACGTTTTCAGACTATTACCTGTATAATACACCAATTCTTCCCAGCCGTGTTTATGCCACGCTGCGTTTCGAATATCTTCCCGGGTCTGAAGATCCTTGTAAGCTTAAAAACAACCACACAGACTAAAAACACAACACCACCTCCTAACAGCATAGCCATTAAGTGCCGACTCAGCTGGTTATAGAATCTTCTAAAGACTCTACTTTGGGTACCAAGTACTGAACTAATGGTGCTGGGCATTCTGAGTAAAACTGTACAAGGTACGTGCTAGGCCTTGTGGGAGACGCTCCACAGTCCACTCTCAAGCTCCGCAGTCTAGCGGGTCCCAGAGCACGACTGCAAGTTACAACCCAGTGAAAAACCACGCATCAAATTCATAAACCAGAAACTGGCAGACTACAGACAAGCAGTAGTGGGTTCAATCTGTGTTCCAGGCAAGGGAGAACAGAAAGACCGGTAATGACGAGGCCAAGGCCTGCTGAGTCTGTGGTCCACACAGGAACGCAGAGCTGGCGGGAGCCTGGGGAGAGCTGCCCCGTAAGGTGCGGTCTGACCAGGGGAGCCTTGAAGGCTGAAAGGACACCATCGACTTACAGGAATGGGAGGGGACAGCATGGACAAAGACGCCACACAGTTCTCGGTTCAATGTGGTTCAGCTTCAGACACTGTATACCTGAGTGTCTTGCCTTCTAATTCCCAACCTGGGCAAGATTCTCCCAACTACGTATCAAGAAAACGCCCCACTGGCATCTGGACGCATGGTCAGGACTGAAAGATCATGCTGGGCTCTCTTCCTTGGGTCTCATTGCTGAGACACGTGCCTTCTTCCCATGAGAAGACTGACTTGCAGGCCTATCACCTCAAACTAACACAGAACAAAATTTCCCCCGACTGGTGATGGGGTAAGACGCATGGGTGGCACAGTAAAGCGTCTGAGTGCTAACTGAAAGGTCAGCAGTTCCAACCTCCAGCCACAGAGTGGGAGGAAGATGAGGTACTCTGCTGCCATCGAGCTGGAAATCCTATGGGGCAGTTCCGTTCTGTCACAGCGTTGGAACCAACTCAATAGCAGTGGGCATTGATGGGGTATAGATTCATTACATGCAACTTTGAAGGTGCTATGAAGTGGAAGACAAAGAAATCTTTTAAACTCTCACCACCCAGAGAAAACACTGCCACCACTCATGTGGCAGGTATAGGTCTCCCAGAGATTGGGTGCAGTTAGTGACCTCTGAACTCCGGAGTGTGTGCCCTTGCAGGGACCACAGGGCGGGAGGCTCTGCCAGACGGGAGCACGCTTGCACACTGAAGACGGGAGCACGGCCGCAGACCGTGGGAAGTGCTCCGCCGAGGGCTGGCGGTGGGGACAGGGGACAGGGAGCGTAGGGAGGCCAGCAAGCTTCAAGGGCTTGGGCAAAGGGAAGAGGCACTGGGTGGTGGACGGTCCCAGCTCTGAAGGCAGACATGCCACGGTTGGAGCTGGGCTCTGCTAGGAACATCCGTGGGATCCTGGTGATGTACTTCCACCTGCGTGTCCCAGTTCCCATGAGCCTCGCCCTTCATTCCTTTAACGTCAGTGACCAGGTGGCAGATGCGCGCAGAGTGTACTGCTGGCCCCACACGGCTATGACTGAGACCCAGGGCCTGTTCTAGCTGGGGATGGGCACAAGCCGCCACGGCTGACAACCAGCCCAACACAGGGCTCTGGTGGCTGAGGAGACACGGGATGTTCGCTGGAGGCGGGAGACGATGGAGGCAGGCCTTGAAACACACCAGAGGCAGCGCCAAACAGAAGTGAGTGGGGGCAACGGAAGAGGGGAAGGGCTTTCCAGGAAGACGAGCCCCTGACACCGAGGCAGGTCGGGGAGTGTGTGCGTGCGACCATGCAGCTGTCTCCCCAGTGAGACGCAGGAGCGCCTTTCAGGGAGCGTGGGCAGTACAGCTGGACATGGAGGGTGGGGCCGTGGTGGGAAGGGCGCTCGGCGGCTGCCCCTGCCTTCCCCGTGGTCGCCGACTCCCCTTCTCTTCCCTTTCACCACTGTCCTTCTCTCCCAGTCACTAACCCATGAGCCAGGAACCTACGTATCTTTCACTGCTGACCTACCGCCCTCATTCTAGAGCCCAACACTTAACCTCCACCTGTGACTGGATTTGCTGCCGTGGTAAAGGTTCCTGGCTTGGGATTTGTTCCGCTGCCAGTACAACTGCCCAGGTCACAAACCCGTAAATCCCGCAACACAAAGAACAGGGACACACATACCCCAGAGGTGGTGCACCATGTAGAGCTGGCCAATCTGGGAGAAGAACCCGCCCACCGCCTCACGACCGTCCTGCCGGAAGCGGATTGCACGAGCCCTGGAAGAGAACGATGCTCAGTCACTGACCCGGATAGGCTAAAAAAGCCGGCGGTGGAGTTTCCTCCAATCAGGAAACTGCTGGACTTCAGTCAAGTCAAAACGCCTTTTTACTAACCAAATGCCATCAAAAGCTATCCTAATGCTTGTAAATTGCCACGTACCTACCTGTAGCCTTATTAGTCATTTTTACAAGGCATGAACGGTCATTAAGGATGACCGCTATGAATCACACCAGTGTGAAGACACGTGTGCGGTGGTTTTGCTGCGGATTCCGACTGTAATGCGGAAACATCAGGGAAGATGACTGTCTGAGGATCAGGCCGGGAACCGAGGACGCGCTTCTCCAGAGCATTCTATGAGAGAAGCCGAGGGAGGACCTGGGTACAGAACACCCACGAGGCCTCAGGTGCTGCCTGCGTCAGAGGAAAGGCCTCCAACACAACACCGAGGGGAAAGGCGGGCAGTGAGCGCTGGAGGCCGCGTGCTCTGAGACGGAGGGCGCGGGACCCCTCGGGCAGGGTGTGGAAGAGCCGTGAAACCACAGCTCCTTGGCAGGGCCCCTCTTCCCTCACCAGAAGTAAACATTCTGGAAAACGGGTACTGAGTGGTATTGCTTATGCACTGTGCGTGGAGAAAGCACGTGCGTAAGGTAAAACTGACACATGGGTAACTGGCTAAAATTTGGCATGTCTTACATTTTTTGTAAGGTTCTTGCGGCAAAAGATACCAGCCATTTAACTGAAACATCATCTTCCATATGTGTGGCTGGTACCACCATTCCATATGTGATGACAGATCTGAACTCCTACCAGTGCTTACAAACACATGCATTTCTTCCAAGGGAACCATTCAGACACAAAGGTGAAAATGGAGGAGGAGCTCGAGTGGCCTGGGGAGGTCAGGAGAAGAGGATGCTGGGAAGCCACCAGGAGAAGTGTGGCTGGGGTCTCTCGGGAGACTGCCCCGCCATGGATTTCCCAGTGAAGCTCTGTCAACACTGCCCAGGCCCCAGCCGGAAGCCTCAACCTCACCGCGTCCTGCAGCTGACTGGCCATTTAAAAGAGAAGGAGACATATGAACGAGAACACTCATCTACTAAAGTCAACAGTGAGAGCGGAAACTCTGAGGGGCAGGATGCTCGAGGGGCCTGGCCAACACATTCTCTTCCTGGAGGCAAATTTCACAGGAACTGAGGTGGAACATCTCAAAGGGCTGTGTGGGACGGGAAAGGACAAGCTGTTGTGTGAGTGAGGAACCCAGTCTCCAAAGGATGACTCCACACCTCTGCTCTCATTCACCATGAGCTCAACACCAACAACGCGATCCCACACCATGAGCTCAACACCAACAACGCAATCCCAACTTTCCGTTTCCTGTGGGGAAAGGAAAAGATTCCCCCCTCCATGGGCGACCCACAGATAACCCTGAAATTTTAACCTTACATTTGAATTAAGTGATCAAATTTTCTCCAAAATTACAAATGGGACTGGCAAATTACTGAAATTAAACAAATCAGTTCAATGTACACCCTAACTCAGAGGAAAGAAAAAGAGAACCGTCCTTCATTGACAGTGATAGATACTCAGGATGATTCATTTCATTCTGAATTTTTCTCATTCAGTTAAGGTTGGCAAAGAAGACATACTTGCTGCAGGCTGGTAATGATCAGAAGCCTGTCCTGGAGAGGAGGGCCCCATCTTAGTTACCTACGTGCCAAAACATAAATTAACACTGAACTAGCTTTGTACATCATCCAAAAATAACTCAAGAATAGCCCTGATACTTCCTTCTGGATTCTGTGGTGAGCAAGTCTTTTTTTTTTTTTTTTAAATTGTGATTTGGGTGAAAGTTTACAGAGCAAATTCACTTTCCATACAGCAGTTCACATCCACTTTGTCTCATGACATCGACTACAATTTCCCACAATGCAACAGCTCCCCTCCTACTTCCTCCCCATAGTCACCTCTTCCCTGTGTCCTTCCCTCCATGCACTCCTGCCCCCTGAGCTGTCTCCCTGTGCATACACAGCCCTTCTATTCTCCCATGATTGTTCTCTCCAAGGAGTGTATCTACTTAACGTAAATGTTGTGGTGAGCAAGCCTTAATTAGTAACATGCAAACCCAACTAATGAGTGATCTGTGTGTAACTAAGTTATTATAGCCACAGAGCGAGGGGACATAAACAAAAGTCCTTTATAATCTCATTGCCGTCGAGTTGGATTTGACTCTTAGTGACCCCTCCTTGGGTTTCCGAGGGGGCAGCCACGTCTTGGAAGGAAGGTTGGGCAATCTACTTCTGTAGAGATACTGCCTCGGAAACCCAAGGAGGGGTTGCTATGAGTCGGGTCCAACTCTTTGGCACATAACAAGAACAACAACAACATTACTACAGAAGTAGATTATCCAACCTTCCTTCCGAGGAGTGGCTGGTGGGTTTGAACCACCAGCCTTCTGGTTAGCAGTCAAATGCCTTAGGCACTACGCCACCAGAGCCCCTTGCCTTATAATAGTTGCATATAATCACACATGTATTTCTTAGTTGTCAAATGAAAAGAGATTCTATCTTGAATTTTTAGCCTTCGATAATCCAAAAAGAAAAGATTCATTAGAAGTAAAAATCACAGAACAGTTTTTGGTCCTGGGGAAAAAAATGTCAGAAATTATCTATTCCAAGGCAAAAAATGTCACCATCAAAAAAGAACATATTTGAGTTGAAAGGTAAGTAAAAGTCACGGGTTCTCATTTAAAGATAAAGAAACCAAGGGTCAGAGCTGCAAAGGAGCTTTTCCTCAACCCCACACTCCGCCCCCTCTGCAGGGAAGTAACTTTACGAGACACCAGCTTAAGAAACAGAAAGGGTAAGTTTCCAAAGAAAATTAAGAGTCAACCTAATCACCTGAAAGATGTACACAGGCAACCAAAGGAAAAAAAATCCACATCGGTGTGCTAAAAAGTTCCAATCCACAGGTGTGCTAAAAAGTTCCAGTCCACATCAGTGTGCTAAAAAGTTCCAATCCACATAGGTGTGCTAAAAAGTCCCAAAGGAGGATGTCGTGGTTGCTGTCGGGTGCTGTCCAGTTGGCTCCGACTCAGTGACCCCCACGTTCAGAACGAAACCCTGCCCGGTCCTGTGCCAGCCCCACGATCCTTGCCATACCCGAGCCCATCGTTGGAGCCACTGCGTCATCCATCTCATTGAGGGCCTTCCCCTCTTTCATCGACCCTCCACTTTACCAAGCATGACATCTTTCTCCGGGGAATGGTCCCTTCTGACAACATGACCAAAGTAGGTGAGACGAAGTCTGGCCATTCTTGCTTCCAAGGAGCATTCCGGCTGCACTTCTTCCGGGACAGATTTGTTAGTTCTTTTAGTATTTTCCTCTAACAGTAATTCTTGTGTTTCACCATCAATATATTTCATATAAGTGGGATCATACAATATCAGCCGTTTTGTGTCTGACTCGTATCTCTCAGCATGTTTTCAAGGTTCATCTTATCAGAATCTGATTTCCCTTTACTGCTGAAAAATACTGCATTACACATATGTACTCCATTTTGCTTATCCATTCATCTGTTGATGGACATATGGATCCTTTCCACTCTTTAGCTATTATGTTTGCATGAATACTGTACACTTTGTGTAAAGTGCATGTGTAGATATATGTTATCATTTCTCTGGGTACATCTTTAGGAGTAGAACTGGCAACTCCAAGTTTAACATTTTGAGAAACTGACAAACTGTTCCAAAGTAGCTGTACCATTTTACACATCTTCACCAACACTCATTATCATCTGTTTTTATGAGTGGCTGTGAAAGGAGTCCTGGTGGTACCAGGGTTAAAGTACTCAATAGAAAAGGCTGGCAGTTTGAACCCACCAGCCACTCCATGGGAGAAAGATGTGGCAGTCTGCTCTGTAAAGATTATGGCCTCTGTCTTGGGTGGGGGTCACTATGAGTTGGAATCAACTCAGTGGCAATGCATAGTGGATGGAAGTGGTATTTCATTATGGTTTCACTTTGAATTCACTACCCTGATTATCTGTTCATGTGCTCATTAGATATTCAAGTATCTTTTTGCATGAAATGCCATTTGTCTTATTCTTATTCAGTTGTAAGAGTTCTTCATAGATTCCAGATACAATTCTTCATCAAAGATTTATAAACATTTTCTCCCATCCTCTACCTTGTCTGCTCACTTAAATAAAGTTCATTGAAGAATTCTATTTATCAGTATTTTTTCTTGTGTCAATAATGCTTTGGGGGTTGTATCTGAGAACTCTTTGCCTAACTCAAGGACACAAAGATTTTCTCCTAGGTTTCCTTATAAAAGTTTCAGAGTTTAGCTTTTATATTTAAGTGTGTGATCCATTTTGAGTTACTATTTAGGTATGATGTGATGGAGGGGTCTACACTGATCTTTTTGCATTCAGCACTCTTTGTTGAAAAGACTATCTTTTCTCCATTGAAGCCCTGGCACCTCTGTCTGAAAACACATTTAAAGGCTTATTTTTGGACTTTCGAGGCCATGTCTGTTGCTCCATTTCTTTGTCTTGAAGCCACTACCACTGTCTGGATGGTGTGAGCTTTGAAGTAAGTTTTGAAATTGGGAACTCTAAGTCTTCCAACTTTGTTCTTCTTGTTCAAGATTGTTTTGGCTATTTTGCATTTCCAAAGTCTGCTGGGAACTGGGAATCTATAGATCAATTTGGGAACACATTGGTATTTTGCTACCTAAACTAAGAAGGAAAAAAAAACGAAGCAACTCTAGCAACATGCTCTGTTTATATGACAAAAGCATGTTTCAGAAAATATTCAAGAGGGACATGAAATAGCCTTAAGCTATACTGTGGTTTTATTAAAAACAAAGAATGCTTAACTGTTCGATATATACAGAAATATTTATGCACAAAATGGTATGTCTGAGAACTGCTTCCAAATAATGTGGGTGTGAGGAGGGACAGAACTAAACCAAGACTGGCCGTGTGGCGATAATTACTGAAGATCAGCAGTGGGTGTAGCAGGAGGAGCTGCTGGATGGTTCTCTCTAGTTTTGTGTCTGTTTAAAAATGTTCATAATACAACACTAAACAAAACTAAACTAAACAAAAACAACAATACTTTAGTGTCAAATCATGGCATTATCCCCAGATTTTACTTTTAAAATTAACATAATGGACTAAAATAATCTGTTAATAAGACTTACAAACTCACCATTCTGTAATGTACTCACCAGTAATTGCCCCATTCAATCATGGTTCCAGGCTGAAAAGAGATTTGGATTTTAGTTTGTTAGCTTTTCTGTGAAGAAATACAGAAGTAGCAGCATACAAAATATCAAGTGAGAAAAACTTGACTTTTAATAACTAGAAAAACAAGTATCATTATGCACTGTGTTTATATATATCCCATGTTGGAGTAAACTCTACAGCTCAGTACAAGAGACAACATGTACACAACGTAAGAGTTAGTCATCTAGTTACGGTTAGCCAATCTAGTTAGGCTGTCTTTCAGATGTCCTGAGTCCTAATTAAATTGTGTGTACCCACTCAGACCTGACTGTGAAATTAATCAAAGATTCAAATCAACTAAAATTAACAAAGACGTCATTTTTTTTCCCCCACTAACAACAGCATTGAGATCTACTGACAATTATTTAACATGCTGGTATCTGGGGCTCAGTTCTTTCTAGTGCTTACTCAGTAGGGCAACATCTTGAAAGTGTTACAAAACATTACTCCCTTTTTGCTCTCATAGTGCCCTACAATTTGTGTAACAGTAGCAACATTTATTAGTTGCTTTGCTTTGGCTACAACTGATGCTATATTATACCCACTCCTGCATTTTAGATTCTCTTCTAAAAACAAAAATGTTACATGGAAAAAATGTCAAGTAATGAACAATACTCATCAGAGTATAAAAAACAGCAAGAGCTTACCGAAGAGGAATGAGAAAGAATAAAACAGAGAAATAGAAAGGAAACTAAGAGAGGGACCGGAGGGGAGGAAAGACTGCAAATAGAAAAATAACGCCAAGCCCACACTAGAGTGCACACCTGGGTTTTGTCATCAGCAGTCGTGGGTGCCCATGGGAAACCCAGACTACAGAGTATACACCCAGGTTCTGACATCACCATGAGCGTGTGCTCACGTGTCTTCACAGAGGAGGGGACACTCATCTCGCGTTCCAGTACTTACTCGGAGCTGGTAAGACCTGAGCTCATATATGTTAGGTCCTGACCGCGGCTCAGGCTCATTCCAGAAACTGAACTCGAGCAGCAGCTGGTTCTTCCTGGAGAGGAGCATGTTACTTCTGGCCTTGCGGAATTCCACAAACTCCTTCGGGTGAAGAAATGTGCTGGTGAAGCCTTCTGATACATACAAAACCACTTCAGCAACACTGGCATCACTGCTGGTTGCGGGGATGTAACAGAACACTGTCACGACAGCCAGCAGAGGTGATATGGACTCACGGGGCCCCCATGTGCGTGCCACAGCGCTATGGATGGTGGATTTCTCGGAAGCTGAGTGCCAGGCCTTTTGGGCTAGAACCACCAACCTACACTTAGCGGCTGAGCATGTCACCTGTGTGCACTCCCAGGGAGTCCCCACACCTGTCAGGTAATTAACAGGCCCACTTTATATCTGCTGAACTAATAAAATGACCGAGAGCATCCCAGGGAGTCGCCACACCTATAGGGTAATCATAGGCCCTAGTTTATATCTGTTGAACTAATAAAATGACTAAGAGCATCCCCCTTCCACCTCAAGTGTCCAGGGTTAGAGGGCAAACTATGTGGTCACCCTAAACAGAATTATGTAAATGACAATTTAAACAAACTTCATTTCCTGTGTCTACAGATTCTTCCTGACAATACATTAGAAGAAGTGACATAAAAACCACAACACAGCAGATAATCCAAATGCCATTTACAGTTGAACTGGGAATCTATATTTAAAAAGTTTTCCTTCCCAATGACATATGGCTGGAACTGTGAATATCCTCTCCTAATAAGCACTGATAGTGAAGTGAGGGATGCAACAGCAAAGTCAGACAGAGGTTATTAAAAAAAAAAAAAGACATGGTTGGCAACTCTTGCTAGATAATCCAGGGCTGACTGTGTCTGTCACACTCATTTACCAGTTTCACAGCACCAGCTTATCAGTTTCAAAGTACACCCTACTTGTACAGTAAGAATTGCAATTTTAATAGCATTACAATTGGCTACTTTATGTTTAAATGCAACCTCAAGAGTCCAAAGGATAAATTCTTTACTCCAAAAACTTTAAACAAAAACTGATGACAGAAAAGTCATTTAATTCTATTCCTGCGCATGCTCCCTGCCACTGAGTTGACTCCAGCCCACAGCAGCCACTCTGCACTAATATTAGTCTCAAGAAGTAATCATTTCTCAAAATCATTACCTGGTTTTCTCTGAGTTTACTCATCACCTCTGTGAGGGCTGGGTAGCCTCCTTCGTACCTCCAGAGGTGGACTGAAATATATTTTAAAAGATAATACTTATTAGAATTGCATGAGACTCTTACCTTGAAACTATTTAGATGCACACGATACTAACACAGTACGAAAGCAGAATGTGCCTTGTGTTGGCCTATGACTTACACCATTAAGTTTTAAATAACTGATTCAAACAGTGAGATGACTAGTCTTTCAATGAATTACAGGACAACTACTTAACTACAACATTATACCGAGACTGGGAAAGTTCTGATCATAATTACTAGCATTATGTCATAACTACTCAGGCAGTTACAATGAAGGTTTAAAGAATAAGTGTTATTCCAAAGACTTCTGTTTCCTACCAGCTTGATCCTGCTCGCCATACCACGTGTTCCAAGTCCCCACCAAAGTACAAGGGTAATGTTTATCTTCATGAATCTTTGGCAACACCTCTTGACTTAAAGAGAAGAAACAGCAACACTAATTAAACAACCAGCAAAACTTGACAAGGTAGACAACATGCACTCAGTGTTAGGAAAAGGCCACCTACTCTGTGTTCTGGCCACTGACCTCACAATATATTTATGATAAAGCAGTGGACAGAATTAACCCTTTAGCCGAATTCTGTTATACCATGACATGCCACTTATCAAAAGATTAGATTTCACACACCCCAACTAGCTAGGAGAGCTGTTAGCAACTTAAGGATGACAAGTGAGAAAAATGATAAGGAGCCGAAGGTCTCAAGATTCCAGGAGCTACGGCTCTATGGCTCTACTGTCTGCCATTTCAGGGAAAAAAAAAAAAAAAGGAAGTACTTAAGAGTGGTGATGTTTATAAAAGCTAAGTTCTTCTGATTCCAAAGATAGGAAGAACAGGAGAAATGGAAATAGAAGGAAAAGAAAAAGGAGGAGAGGTAAGAGGAGCAGGGAACACGATGGCCTTAAGGAAAGAGGAGGACAGCAGGGCTAGAGCAGGACACAGTCAGGAAGCAACTCCACATCCAGCAGTCCCCAAGGGCATCGGCGAATCAAAAACCAAAGCACAGCATGTAGCGTAAGTTAGGCTCTACTCTCTTCAAGCAGCTGCAGAGGCTCACAACATGTCAGATAACGGACGTACTGACCGGTTCACTGTGCTGCTTGAACGTGCACAGTGGCAAAGCCAAGTCATGAGAGTTTATTAGTTTAACAGAGGTGTCAGACACAACCTGATTCCATGAAAGCCCTCCTACTGTATATATTCTAATGTCTACAAAGAGGCAAAGGGAAGAGATTCAGTTCTGTGCTATCAAGAGAAAGCTAAAACTTGCACATGTCTTGAAGAACAGGAAAATTACGGTGAAAAAGTACAACACCGACTCAGCAATGGAATCAAAAGGATGTCAAGGGTCAGAAATGGGACCTGTTCCGGTGATGTACAAACACTGAGTGACAGGAAATCAGTGTCCACCAGCAGACGCGGGGGCGTCAAGACTGAACAAAGTACATGAGCCGTCAACAGAGAAAAGCTCTGAGTGGCTCGCTTAGTAGCTGAAACGCAGACATCCCAATGAGCCTGCACCATGACCAGGGACACTGGGGGCGCAAACAGTTAACGCACTCAGCTGCTAAGCAAAGGTTAGCGGTGTGAGTCCACCCAGAAGCACGTGGGAAGAAAGGCCTGGCCATCCATTTCCGAAAAACCAGAAAACCCTAGGGAGCACAGTTCTGTTCTGACACCCATGGGTCACCACGAACTGAAATCAACTTGACGGCAACTGGCGTCTGGCACTACAATGACTACCCCGTGTGTATTTCTTGAAGGGTGGCGTTTACTTTTTTAAATTAAGATCTGATAATAAATCTGATACATAGCCCATGAGTGTCCAGAAATAACATGACAGAGACTGGGAGGAGGAAAGGAGGAAATACAGCAGCAAAACGGAACGGGTCTCTTTTTGCCACAGGACATGACAGTAAACGTGAGAGTGAACATCCTTGACTTGGAGCCACGGCAGAGGAAGGAAGCTAGCACAGATGACCTAGCTGGGGTCTGGAAAGCGGCCAGAGGCCTGACAATGGGGCCTGGGCTGCTTGTCAATACAAAGCCATGGGTAGATTTCTAGCCAATCCTGTTTGTTGGAGCCTCCAAATCTGCTCTTGAAAGCCGTGGCCTGAGGATGCGAGGTAGGCGGGCAGTACTTACACGCAGAACTGGATGGGCTGGGCAGAACCTCATTACAGGAGTCTCCCTGACCCAGGCAGGAGTGACTCTATGTGCTAGAAGCAGGGAGCTGCTAAGAGCTTCAGGGGACGGAAGGAGCATGGTGAAGGACAATGTGGACAAGATCAATCTGACAAGCTTTGCACTGACGCATCGCAGGGTGGACAGAGATACAGGAAGTCAGAAAGGGGGTTACTTGGGAATGGGGCTCGGCAGGCTCAGACAGGGAGGTGGAGAAGGAAACAAGCAGAGAGAACACATGCCGAATAAAGAAGGCACCGTCCCTCACGACTGATCACCGAGAACTAAGGCAAGAGTTAACTAAAACCTGGGGAGGGACACAGACAGGAAAGCTGGGAGAGGGAGGGGCTTCAACATGTTCACTGTGAAGCAACGGTAAGACGTCCAATTGGAAATACATGACACAGAGCCAGAAATCCAAGTCCGGAGAGGAGGTGATGAAAACAGGACGGGGTAACCGAGGGGGACATCTGCAGAGAGAAACCTCACTCAATGGGACGAGGATGGAGATAAGCATCTGTTTGTCCCAGGGCATTTTTCAATAAAGAGCAATGTGCTGAGGTGTGTGAGAAAGGCTGTGCTAACATTACACGTCACGAACCACCTTCAGACATGCAAGAGCAACACAACTGCAAAAGGGATTTGGTTTTGAGGCGGTTTCGGTGTTGATTCTGGTGACAAAATCACTTGTCTTCTCAGGAGAACAGCAGAAATGACAAGTGAAGATTTCTTTTTCATTGTATTCTCTTGTAAGAGGTTATTAAAATGCTAGTTGTGCTAATTTAATTAAGAACTGATGAGTTTAACTCTCCATTAGCCTCCAAGTTGACACATGTGTAAGAGGTTAGAGTCCACACATCACAGGAGGACCAGCGGAAGAGACCCGGACCCCAGGGAATGGAAGACTTGAGGAGAAACAGCAGCTATGTTCAAATACGTACAGGACTTCCCCGTGGCCACGTGACTTAGGAGTAAAGCTGGAAACAAGGGAGCTCACAGGGTGCTAGCTCTAATTCTCAACATCAGGGTGTCTCATAAGTGCTGGTGCTCAGGAAGGTCTGCAGAAAGGATTCAAGCACTGGATGAACACATGGTTTGGATGGTCTTACAAAGTACCTTCCAACCGTAAGAGCCTACTCATCTTCTAAAATGTGACTGCCTACGTGATGACTTAGCTGTGTGAGAGCTTACAAGCAATGTCTCCTTGGCAATCAATCCCACACAGAGCTCAGTCTAAGAGCTCACTTTCGGCTAAGTGTTAGGTGAACCAACAAATAGCAAACTCATTGTTTTTTCCCCAAGTAAAGGATAGCTTGGTATACACACCAAATTTTGTTGTATGCTTCTAGGCATTCCGGTTTAACATTGTGAACTGAAACAAAAGAAAATCCAACGATAAACTTGTGAACAAAGGGACAGCGAGTCAACTGTGAGGAGAGCAAACCTATTACTCACACTGCAGTTTGTATAGGCTGCTCGTCTCCTTTTTGGCCAGAAGGTTGGAGTGGGCATCTTTTCTTGGATCAACTTTCCGGACAAATAAGGACTTTAACCAGCTGTCTTCTCGAGGTCTGATACTGGAAGATGTCAATTCCCTGTGGGATAGCAAGCACAACCATTTGAGTCCACAATGAAGTGCAAAGACTCAAGTGTCTTCAGGGACGCCATGTAGTCCATTGTTTCCATAAAGTCATTGATCCATAAGCATGCACCAAGCACCTATTCCTGGCACTACTCTAGAACCTGGCATAAATACCACAAAATATCCACCTTATTCCATTAGCATAGCAGGCGCTATAAACAGCAGCAGAGTAAAATGTAAAAGAAGCCCATGCAATACTCCTACCAGAGTTTCATGCTCATCTGGCAAGTTTATGTGATTACCCCTCCTCCAAAGCAATTTGTGACACAGAAAAAAATAAACAGGAAAAATGAAATATATTTGTTCTTAAAAAATTATTTCAGAGGCAGTCTAAGATGACGCTGTAGCCAGACACCTGCTAAGTCCCTCTGACAACAAAGACCCAAGGAAACAAGTAAACTGGATATAGATGACAACTTTGGAAGCCTAAGCATCAAGGGCTAGGCTTGGACTGAAGATCCCGGAGAGAGTGGGAGAATAATGTGGAAAAAAACTCAAATTCACAGAAAAGACCAGGTTTGCTGGTCTGATAAAGCCTGGTGAGACACCTGAGACTAAGGCCCCTAGTTACCATACAGGTGTGGAATTGAATTCATTCCCGTGGCTTGTAGCCAAACGACAGGAGATGGGGTGAACATTTACATCATGGAGACATACTCCTTAGAGCAATCAGTCATGGAAGAACAGAAGGGCAGTGTTTGCACAGGGAGACAGCTGTGTATGAACTGCTGTATGGAAAATAAATTTGCTCTGTAAACTTTCATCCAAATCACAATAAAAACTTAAAAAAAAAAAAGAGAAGTCTACATTACCAAAAAAAAAAAAAAAAAAAGAATGAGATTGAGTGCCAAGTAGAAGGAGAGACTGTACAAAAACAGCAGACAGGGAGAATTATGGACCAACGGTGGCCTGCCAGCCAAACCTGCACAGTGTGACCATTTTGAGACAAAGCAAACAGTGCTCTCAGCCAAAGCCCCCATCACCTGTATACTAAGCAGCAGTGACTGCAACCATGCCCAGAGCCAGACGGCAGTGTTCCTAACCTGCAAGAGTTAAGTGTACTCACCTCCTCTACCACACTTCCCCAATCCCTCCAATACAGAGGCTGCAGACTAGCAGTACCTCCTACTCCCTCCAGCCACCTGTGCTGGGGACCCAAGGACCCTCAGCACACCCACCCTTGTGTCCACGCTCAAGCACAGAGGGCACACCCTGCTAGCAGGTACCCGTGGACTGACAGCATCCTCCTTGCCTCACTCCTACACCATTCCTCCTACCACTGGATCCTTGTGCCCACTCTGATCAATCCCATGTATTACTACTCTCCCAGGGCCACTGGTGAGAGTTTCCATACCACCTACTCAGTGGCTGATAACTTGGGCACCCTTAGCCCAACCATCTAACAACTAGTAGTGTACACACAACCCAGTGACCAACCCAGTGACCAGTGGGAACATTCCCTGTACTCACAGCCAGGTGACCAGCCAGACAGTCACATCACCTCATCAGCAATGTCAGCTACATTCTCACCTGCCCCACAAGATCAGCAAACAGAGACCCATGTTCACACACCCAGCCAATGTCCCATGCACCTGGAGAGAGGTGGTGAAAGCTCCAGGGTGGCCAGACTAGTGACTATAGTACACAGGTCCCACCTACTCAGACATATCAAAACAACAACAAATCAGGATGTAGCAAACAAATAAACAATAAATAAATACAACAATATCTAACGAATTTGAGACAAGAGACAACATCAAACCACATAAAGAAACAGGACAAGATGGCTCTAATAAGTGACCAAAATAAAGAATCAAAAAATCTTCCAGAGGATGAAGTGGTCACGGAACCACCTAATAAGGAATTAAAAATACTGATAGGGTTCTCCTAGAGATCAAGGAAAACACAGACAAAACCAAGGAAAACACAGACGAAGGAACAGAAGAATTCAGGAAAATGACACAAGAAGAAAAAGACAAAATAAATAGACAATAGACAAATAGAAACCACATAAGAACAGCAACTAGAAATCCAAAAGATTAGCAATAGAATTTCAGCAACAGACAACTCAACAAAAGGACCTAAGAGGAGAACTGAATCAATGGAAGCACAATCAGTGAAACAGAGAACATATCCCTTGACAGCAATTTGTTTAAGGGGGGGAAAAAAAAAATGAAGAAAGCCTAAGAATTATGTGGGGCACTTTCAAGAGGAAAAATTTACATGTGATTAGAATTCCAGAAAAGCAGGAAGCAAAATGGGGCGGGGGGGACCCACCACAGAGAGAACTGCCAAATCACAGGTATAAAACTTCCTTAATGTCATGAAGGACGAGATGATATCCATCCAAAAAGCTCAATTAAATCCATAACAAGATAGCCCCCAAACAAAATCACCAAGACATATCCTAATCAAATCTGCCAAAACCAAAGACAAAAAAGAATCCTGAGAGCAGCTCAGGAAAAACAAAAGTCACCAACAAAGAAGAACCAATAAGACTTAAGCTCTGATTACATGGTAGAAACTATGTAGGCAAGAAGGCAATGGGATGATACATTTAAAACCTTCAAAGAAAAAAATTGCCAACTGAGACTTACTTGTCCAGCAAAACTGTCTCATAAATACAATGGCAAAATTAGGGCATTTCCAGATAAATGGAAATTAAGGGAATTTGTGAAAACCAAACCAATCTTACAAGAAATATTAAAGGAAGTCCTTTGCATAAAGACTCAACACCACCAGACAACAACCTGAGATGACGACATAGGATACCATCAACCAGATAACAACCCAGACAAAGAATTTTCAAAAATAAACCAAAACTAAGACTAGAAACAGGGAACCAGTGATGTCAATCTATAAATGTTGACAACTTTAAAACAAAAAGGGGGAGTAAGTGGTGTAGTTATAGAATTTTCACATGGAGAGAAAGTCAAGGCTTTATCAAGAAATGAAAGATTGCTTTAAATTTAGGAAGGAGCTCTGGGAGTGCAGTGGTTAAAGCATTTGGCTGCTAATCAAAAGGTTGGGAGTTCGAACTCACCAGCTACTCCATGGGAGAAAGATGACTCAGTGTGCTTCTATAAAAATTGGGAATTCTATGGGGCAGTTCTAATCTGTCCTACAGAGTTGCTATGAGTTGAAATTGACTCAGTGGCAGTGGGCTTGGTTTGGTTAAACTTAAGAAGATAATGTTAAATTTCAAAGTAACCACCAAGAAAGTTAACAAACCTACTCATCAAAATAAAAAATAAGAAAAACATAAAAACTGAGTAAACACAAAGTCAACAACAATGAAAGAAATAAAAAGAAAATACAAAAAGAACTCAGCAAAAATTAAGCAGAACAAAGAAACCATCAACAGCACACACACATACACAAAACAAAGCACAACAAAATGACAGCAGTCAATCCATACCTATTGGTATGCACACTAAATGAAAACGGATTAAATGCCCTTTAAAGAGACAGAGAGTGGACAAATGGATTTAAAAAACCAAACCCATCAATACGCTGTCTACAAGAGACACACCTTAGATACACGACATAAACTAAAACTCAAAGGATGGAAAAAAATATATCAAGCAAACAATAACCAAAAAAAGCAGGAGTGGCAATATTAATCTCTGACAAAATAGACTTTAAGGCAAAATCCACCATAAAAGATAAGGAAGGATATTATATTATGTTTAAAGGGTCAATCCACCAAGAGCACATAACAATATTAAATATATATGCATCCAATGACAGGGATCCAAAATACATGAAACAAACTCTAACAGCATCAAAAAAAGAAACGGACAATTCACAATAATAGTAGAAGACTTCAACACACCACTTTCAGTGAAGGACAGAAAAAGTAGAAATAAACTGAAAAAAAGTTACCAACCAACTAACCCACTGTCATTGAGTTGATTCTGACTTCCACGGAGCAGCTGGTAGGTTTGAACCACCAACCTTCTGGTTAGCAGTCAAATGCCTTAGGCACTGCACCACCAACTCTCCTTAAAAAAAAAAAAAAGGATACAGAAGATCTAAATGCCACAATCAACCAAGTCACTTCATAGGCATATACAGAACACGCCACCCATCAGCAGAAAAGTAGACATTCTTTTCCAACATACATGGGTCATTCTCCAGAATAGACTACATTTTAGGCCACAAAGCAAGACCTAATAAAATCCAAAACAAGGAAATAATATATAGCATGTTCTCTGATCCTAACACTATAAAAGTAGACATCAGCAACAGGAAGAGCAAGAGGAAATAAACCTTCACATCAAAATAAAGAGGACAAGCACAAATACTTAACAAATACCAAAACAACAGCAATGAAGGAGATAACACAACTCCTGAACCAAATGAGCTCAGCACAGAAAATATGGAACAAAGAAATCAGCAACATCATAAAAAACATACAACAAAATGACATCAATAAAATCATACTTGTCAATAATTACACAATTATTAATCCAATATAAATGGATTAAATGCACCTTCAAAAGACGGAAAGTTGCAGTCTAGATAAGAAAACATAACCCATCAATATGCTGTCTACAAGAGACTCGCTTTAGACACAAAGACAAAAATTAGACTCCAAATCAAAGGTTGGAAAAAGACATACCAAATAAATAGCAACCAAAAGAGAGCAGGAGTGGTAATATTAATTTCTGGTAAAATATACTTTAATACAAAAACGACCATAGGAAACAAGGGAGGAAATTACATAATGATTTAAAAAAGTTCAGCTCACTGCTATTGAGTTGGACCCGACTCATAGCGACCCCTCCCTGGGTTTCCAAGGCAGTATCACTATGGAAGTAGATTCCCCAACCTTCCTTCCGAGGAGTGGATGGTGGGCTTGAACTGCCAGCCTCCTGGTTATCAGTCAAATGCCTTAGGCACTACATCACCAGAGTTCCCGTGATGATTAAAGGATCACTTGAACAAGAGGACATAACTGTAATAAGTATCTATGCTCCCAATGAAAGAGCCCCAAAATGCATAAAGCAGACTTTAACAGAATTGAAAAAACAAATAAATGACTCGATGGTAATAGTAAGAGACTTTGATAAACCACTTTCAATAAAAGATAGAACAACTGGAAAGAAACTCAACAAAGATACAGAAGAACTAAACAATACAATCAACCAATTTGACCTTATAGACATCATAGAGCACCTCACCCAACAACAGCACAGTACACCTTCTTTTC